CTGGGAGAGATAGCAAGGAGGTGTGCCACACATAACAATCCAAGTTGTGCCAGAGGTTGAGATAAACTTAATGGGTGGGCTTTTTTTTTTATGGGTGTAAAGAACAGGATCAGACTCACCTACAGCCTGCAGCCCCAGTGAAAAGCTCCTGATTCTGCTTTACCTACAGATAAGAGAAGCAACACAGCATAAGGTAGCTCTACTCACGGGCCTGTAGACACTTTGGTTTAAGACATCAGGCTTTAGAAAAGGAGGTTAAAGGGTTCATTCTTTTTGCTCATGGATTTGAATTGCAATTTGAAGTTCTAAAAATGAGACACAGAACTGTCAGATCCCAATATGCCTCATTCTTGAACAGCTTGACTTCTGCACATTTGGGACACAGGGAACATTCTGTCAGGCCCAACACAAGAGAGTTCATTTTTTTTTTCTGAAAATATTTCAATCTCTATTCTGGATCCTGGGTTCCCTGTGTTCTACATAAAGACGATAGCAGCAGGCAGGAGACTCTGCCATTCTGGCATGTTCTTGTGATTCAGACTTGGGAATTAACTGCAAGTGCCCTGGCTGCTGACACAGGTCTGTGTCAAGTGTGAGAAGGGGTAGGCTGAGGGCTGGGTGATGAGCAGGCCACGTGCCTGGAAACCGGGCACTGCTATTAGTTTAACAGCCACCACGGAGACTGCGAGACTGAAACCATGTTAGGCTGACTGGGTTTAGATCATCTTTGAGAGCAATAACCTGCTTGATTTGGGTCAACTGGCGAGATTTTTATTAGCATTTGTCACAAAAACCAGGATCAGACAGATGCAGGAATGGCATATGGTGGCAAGGTGGCAAATAACAGGGGACGTGCATTTCAAACAGTATCGTGGCTGACTCATTTGTTGGAATGACAAGCCCTTATAAATGCAGAGACCTTATAACTTATCCAGATAAGAAGAAAGGCCCCTCGCCAATTTCATCTGACTCTTGGCTCTGTTAGTGCTGTCATTTGATGTCGGTGCTTCTAATCTTCTTACTGGCTCACTTCAGGTTTTCCATCTTTACACCGAAGGGAATGAGCTAATGTGCATATTTTGCATCTTTTCGGATCCTGGGCTATTTCTTTTGTAGCTTGTTGTAGGGAAACTGAGTGAACCAAAGCTTCATGTGGAACCAAGTCGATCTTCATACTCAATAATGTTGTTAACATTAGTTATCTTTGAAATGATGGCTTGTTTTTGTTTTTTGGTGTAAATAGTTGCAGTGGGAAAAGTGTCCAGGCATGGCTTTCTTTCCCTTTATGATATTTTTAGTATAGTTACCAGTGATCAGGATTTGCATAGAATAAAACAGCCAGGACTCTTCCCTCCTGTTACTGCATCCCGTAACCACAGTAACAAGAATTCACAGAGTTGTAGAAGATTTTTTTGAAAAGGAAATTATGGATAAATATTAAGGATGGAGTAAGAACTTATCTCATTGGGTACTATGATCTTCAATGTGAGAATGAATACATCCTCTTGTAGAAAACCTATTATGTCCAGATATATATGGACGCCTTAGTTATGCAGTTCATAATTCTTCTGTGCCTCACTGTAGAGGAGAAGGTGGAAGGATACCAGGTGAGGGGGAGCCCTCTAGAGGACAATCACCAAAGCAGACACTGGAGCAGGAAAAAACTAGAAGTAAAGGAGAAGGAATGTTAAATTTAGGGCAGATCTGAACTGATGGTGTAAAGGTAATGTGACTTGCCATGTGCTTCTGCTGATGTTGTGGTGGAGCAAAATGGTGACTTTAGCAGTTTAAGAGCTGCCAGGCTGTGGTTTTGCACACTGACCCACAGCATCTCTACATAGTGACATTTAACCATAGAAGCTTGCAGCGGCTAGCAGGTACCTCTCACTGAAAACAACAGTAGCAGAAGCAGGAAACAAAGCAACAGGGACAAAACAATCCCTTAGTGCAGTAAAAGTCCCTAAGTGTATGAGCTAAGAGTCCCTAGGCTGTTGACAAGCTTGCACCCATTTACAAAATGTAGACTGCACCCTCCAATAGAATTGCACCAACTCCCTTGCCTTGATATACCCAAAACTTGCTTATAAGGGGCTGGGGTTGTAGCTCAGTGGCAGAGCACTTGCCTCAAATGTGTGAGGCCCTGGGTTTAATCCCCAACACCACATTAAAAAAAAGTAAACAAAACTTGCTTATATACCAGTGTAAAAACCATGCTGTACTCAGGGCTCAGACTTTGAGAATTATCCCTCTGGGCTCTGGTGCTACTAATAAAGTATTGCTGCCAGTTGCTGTTGGTGTCCTGACCCTCATTTCCTGCCACAATGTAGAACATATTTATTAACAAATTGGTCATATAGCATCATCAGGGATTTTATTGATGCATGTGCTAAGTAGGTACTAAAATAAAAATCATTATTTCCACTCAGCGTAATTCACAGCCCTAACCTGCAACACCTGGGATAGGCAAGGTCAGGAAGTGGGGTGCATTGTGGTAATAAATAGGAAATTGAGGGTGAGCTGGATGAGGGGACCCCTCTCCCAGGGGTAGTGACAGGTAGGGTTTTCTCTGCATTCCAGGTGCTTCTTTAAATGGAAAAATGTGCCTTATAAACCCTGACCTGAGTTGGGCCATGAATATCATTATAACTCACTGCTGTTTATCTTATGCCCAGGAAGAAATTGATGAAGCACTTCCTCTCCTGTGTCCCTGACCATAATACACATAAGATTGTAATACCAAATTTATACCAAAAAAAATAATACCCTCTTGGCAAGGGTTTTAGTATTTCTGTTGATCCCTTACTTATAAATAAAATGAAAGAAGAGTTTAAAAATCTTAAACTTTGCAGAGCAAAATGACTTCTGACATCAATGGTTTTAGAGGATATTTTTAGAACATGTTGTATGGGAAATATCCTGCTGTCTGTGTGCAGTTAGATATTCATAGTATACATATCTCTGTCTATATCTAAATCTATCCAACCAATTAGGGTTGGGCCACTTGCTCACAGGTGCCTTAATGACCATCATTCATAAGCCCATCTCAAAAATCATGTTTGTAGGAAATAAGATCCAGACAGTGAAGCTCATACCTGTCAAAACCAGCATAAGATTCATAACCTGAGCTTAGTCAGCCAATGAAAATATGGACTCAGCACATTTAAGCCCAAACCACAGTGGCCTTCACTTCTAGTCTGAGACACTACAGGGCCCCTGAGTTTCTAGTCAGCAAGCCTGCTTTGCCCTTTGTTGAAGAGAAAATAGTGATAGCAAGGATTTATAAATTCCAGGTACATGTCAGGGGCCCTCCTGGATCTCACATCTTCCCTGAAGACTGCTGGGCTCATACATGTGGCCATATCTGAACCCTCTGTGGTCTTCCTCTCTATGGGACTCAATGGGTGCTCTATCGTGTAATAGGTTGGCTAAACTCCCTGTGTGTCCATGACCCTGGCACATGTGCATGCCCTTGAGAGCAAGGACAATGTCTTACACCTCCTAAGTGTAGTTCACACCTGTATTCATTCATCTGCACAGAAAATAGTTATTGAACCTATTTGAGGCCAGGTCCTGTTCTACTCTTTGAGGATATACTAATAGAGAGTCTTTGGGGTTAATGAACATAAAACTCATAGCCAGAACCATGGAAAGATAACTATAAACTTGTAGGCCCTGATAAATGTGACAGAGGAAAATGAAATATAACGCTCTAAGACAGAAGAGTTCATGATCTTATTTAAATTTGGGAGCAGAAAAGACTCCAAAATGATAATATTTAAACTGAAACACAAAGAAACATAGTCTTTTCTTCAGTAGGGACTAAGAAGTATTTCTTGCCTTGAAAAGTGTTTAACGGTCTCTAAAGTCACATGGCATTAACGTCCTAAGTGCAGCGAATCTCCATGGCTGTGTCTCCCAGTGCAGCCTCTCCCTCCCCTTTTGCCAACTTCCCACACCTTTTATCTGGAAGGAAAGCAGTTGGATCTCAGGACTACTTGCAGAATTAGGACAAAGTTGTTCTTGCTAAGATACTTATGAAGCATTTCAGCAGTCTCTAAGACACATAAACTCAAGATGGCATGTGACCTTGATCACTGGTGTTGCAAAGTAAAAAGTATGTGGCCTTCAGGATTCAGCCCATTTAGAGTTGAATCCCAAACCCGTGACCTCCAAGAGATGATTTCATAGACTCAGTTTCTTCCTCCTGTGAAAGGGAGGACAAGGTCTCTTGAAACTCACAAGGATTCGTGAAGACTGATGTGACACATCCAGGCACAGAGCTAGCAGTCACTCAGTCACTATAGTCCTGCCCCACCTTTCTCTGAACCCTCTGGGCCCCAGTTTCTGTGGAACCCCGCGGTTCTTCTCTCTGCTCCAAAAATCACGTGAAGATTGCTATCACTTCCCTCAAAACCGCTCCCAGAGTCCAAATTGGCTTCAGTTAAGAGATGTAACAGGCCCATGATGGGCCACCTGGGCCCTAACCTTGGAAAGATGTGACCACCAAAGGATGAGCAACACCTCAGTACTGCTCAGAGTAGTCTAGAGCCAAATGGCGCAGGAGCATCTCCCATCCACAAGGTAGGGGCAGTCTAGGATTTGGTCCAGGGGTAACCTAGGGACACCAGGTAGAGTGGTCATTCAGAACCTGGAAGCAGGAAGTAGGGACGCACAGATGGAAGCCCAAATGTGTGGGTGCAGCTTACCAGGAAGGGGGGAAAGGGGCTATGATTGAGGGCTCCTTGAGGCCTCCAGGACTTTATGCACAAGATGGGCACTTGGCTTGAGGCTTCTAAAAGAAAGAGTCCATTCTAGGCTTCAGGAAGAGAGGTGTGGGCGAGGCTGAGGCAGTCTTCAGTGATAGCTGCAGGTAACCGCCTGGACGAGAGGTCAGCTTTGGGGAGGGGGTATGGAAGTAGGAGAGCTCCCAGCAGTCAGGCCGCTCTGCTCCTCTGTGAATGTTACATTCAATTATAGTCAAACCTCTTCTTCTTTTACAGGTCAGCACTGACACTTCAGGCTTGAGGAAGCCAGATCCGAAAGGTCGGAGTGCCCTGTTGGCTGATATCCAGCAAGGAACTCGCCTGCGAAAAGTCACACAGATCAATGACCGCAGTGCCCCACAAATCGAGAGTAAGCAAGCAGTTCAATCAGGCCTACCGCAAACCCAGGGCAGGGGCACAGGGCAGGGCACAGCCACAGTCCCCTGGCTGGGTTGCATTTGTGATGCAGGACACACCAGGCCATCTCAGACCTGCTCAGTGGACAGGCAGATGGGCAAGAGAGTGAGATGTTTTAGAGTGCATCTTCCATCACTTTTCAAAGGCTAAAAGTTAAAAAACAAAACAAAGCAAAAACCCCATGGTGGTTTAACTTTTTTATTCATTGTATAAAATACATATAACACAATTTACCAATTTTACCATTTTAAAACCTTTAGCGGCATTTACTATATCCACAATGTTGTTGGAACCATTCCCTCTAACTAGTTCCAGAACATTTTTATTACCCCAAAAAGAAAATCCCGCACTCATTAACAGTCACTCCATTCCTCCCAGCCCAGCCCCTGGCAGCCACTAACCTACTTTCTGTCTCTATGGATGAGCTTATTCTGGTTATTTCATAGGAATGGAATCATGTCCTCTGTGGCCTTTTGGTGACTGGCTTCTCTCAGGCCAGCATTTTCAAGCTCCATCCATAATACAGTATGTGTCAGTACTTCAGCCTTCTCACACAGTTTCATCTTATGGATGTACCACATTTTGTGTGTCCATCATGGGGTAACATAAAGATCCCTTACCCTGTGCCAACATAGTCCTCAAACTTAACTATAGACGACAAAGCTCTCAACATTAAAAAAAAAAAATGGAGTTTTTGTTTTTCACAAGGAAAAAGATGTGTTCAAAATTCTATCTCACAAGATCCTATGACTGCAGCCTTCTGTCTTCCAGAACATAATAGGAGCCTGTGTGCAGGTCAGATAACTCATGTTGAATTCTGCTTCTGCCACCAGGCAAATCAAGGGGCCTCTTGTTGTTTTTTGTTGTTGTTGTTGTTTGTTTTTTGTTTTGGTACTAGGAATGAAACACAGGCTCTGCCACTGAACTACACCCCTATACACCCCAAGCCCCAGGGAACTTCTTTGAGGCTCAGTTAGCTCATCTGCAAAATGAAGGAGATAATAATACCTGTTCTTTTTTCTACAGTGGGGTACTGTTCAGATTATGGAAGATTGAATTATTTAATAATGTAAGGTATTGGGTCTTTATATACTTTGCAATGATGTGCATGATGGTCCTAAAGCTAGTCCTAAAAACATAATTGTATCTCATATGATAACACACAAAGACACTTTTTTTGAGGGGGGCAGTACTGGGGATTGAACTCAGGGGCACTCAACCACAGAGCCACATCTCCAGCCCTATTGTGTATTTAATTATTTAGAGACAGGGACTCAATGAGTTGTGTAGCACCTCACTTTTGCTGAGGCTGGCTTAGAACACACGATCCTCCTGCCTCAGCCTCCTGAGAGGATGGGATTACAGACATGCAGCACCACACCCAGCCAAAGACATGTTTTTAAAAAAGCGTTTTCAAAATTGATTATAATATAAATTAGTTTCCATTTAGACCCACTGTCTACTTGGCTACGCTCAATTAACAAATTAATCCATTTTGTTGGAACACCCACTTCATATTGACTCCAAAAAGTAATGTATATTAATACTCAGAATAATCTGTCTACTTTCAGCCACCAGTAGGCACTGTGTCCTAACTTCTCCCTGCATAATAGCTTCAGGCTATAAATACATTCTGTCAGTGATTTTTGCCTCCACTGAATATCTTTTCAGGTTCTGCAATTGGTAATCACACACATCTCAAAGGCTAGAGTTAGTGATGTCCAAGCTTTCAGGCTTCCTACAGAAGAAGAAGTTTAGGGAATCATAGGGTGGGCCCAGTGTCTAAGAACCCAGGAGAAGGAAAATTCTGAAGCAGAAATCATTGCAGACCTTCACTTCCTGGTTGTAGTTCTGGTCAACCCCCTGTGGACAGCAAGTTAAGATGGTGCGCCGAATCAAATCCATAGGTTTTCTTTGTCTAGTCTTCCCAATGCCAAGCTGCGAATAGGACCAACTCTACACCTGCTGTGTTCAGGTTTTCTAATTTGCAGTGTACTGCTGATTCCCCATCAGCATCCAGCAAATGGGTAGAATTCAGGTCCCTTTATTTGGTCGCCTTTCAGGGTGGTTGGCCACAAATGGTTAGCTCTTTGACAGGGCTGGAGAGGGCAGCAGACATATATAGGCACATGAGTCTGCAGAGTATCAAGGCAGAGGGCACCTGGGGAAGATGCTGAGTGCAAGGGCGACACTGGAAAGAGGACAATGGGACACTGCTGAGACGGTGTCAAACCCCAGAGTGAGAAGGAACTGCTCAGCTCTACTCACACATCTTCACCACTTGCTCTTCTCTTTGAAGGTTCAAAAGCAAGCAACAAAGAAGGAGGAGGCTCTGCCAACTCCCGAGGAGGAAACACACCCCCAGTCCTGGGAGATCTCTTCGCTGGTGGCTTTCCTGTGTTGCGACCAGCAGGCCAGAGGGATGTAGCAGGTAAGGAAAAGTTTGACTAGCTACATCATAGTCTAAATCTCCTTAACTCGTGGAACCAACTGGGCAATCCACATGTGCCCAGTTGGTTCCACATGTGCCCAGGAACATGTGTTTTATAAACAGTCATGTTAGAGATCATGTATTTGGAAAGTTAAACACTGGAACTTTCTAAAGCACAGAATTGTTCATGAGGAATCTTTCAAATCATCATCCTAACTAAATTGTTGTAATAATTGAAGAGCAACTTGTATTATTTAGCAATGGTGTAATGGTTGCCCAGACAGAAGGTGCAAATCATAACAGATCATCATAATGACATCACTGTGGCCTCACTAGAGATGCATGAGTTGTAATGGTTTTCATTCAGTGTATCAATTAGGCATTGCTATGTAACAGAACACAGAAACTTAAGAGTTTTAAATGACCATTTATTATTTAGCCTATAATTCTGTGGGTTAGCAATGTGGAATGATCTCAGCTCTACTCCCTCAGCATCTGCAAATCTGCGGGTTAGGTAGGTGGCTTTCCTTTATCTTAGATTTCTCCTGTTTTTCCTGTCTCTGAGGCTCAGGCTTGACTCACCTCAGGCTTGACTCACAACTGGCTTGACTCACCTCAGGTCCACGTGGTCTCTCAGTCTCCAGCAGGCTGCTCAAGGGCTTGTTATCATGGTGGTGGCAAGGCTCCAAAATAAAAGGAAGATGTGTATAAAGTCCCTTGAGGCTTAGTCTTGGAAGCTACTGAGAAGTAACTTGGAAGGCTAGGAAGTGTTAATTCCTATCACATCCAAAGCAAGTGACAAAGATGTGGAAATAGACTTCATCTCTTGATATCATATTCAATCATTTTAAAAGATTATGTTAATAGTCAATCATATTCAAAGATTACAGAATTAGGCATGAGAGGGTAATTGAGGCCATTACTACAATCAGTCTACTGCAGTTATGTGTGCTTTAGCGGGCACTGGATGTTTTAAAACTTTTACATTCAAATTGGGTATATATATAGTAGAAAAAAGTGTTTTCCTACTGTTGTGCTCTTTAGCCAACAAGCTGAATAAACTCCAGGGGTATCACTGACCCAGGGACTGTCAGGCTCCAAATATTCCTGGTACCTGATCCTCCACCACGTGAGCAGGAAACAGAGGCGATTTTGTACTCTTAACAGACTCACTTTCAGGGTTTTTGAATCTTGGATTCACGATGTTTTCAATCATTTTAAAAGTTTGGATTGGTTATTCAAGAGTAGGCTCTGTTCTGCTTTTTAAATTTATGATTCTTTTAAATTTCACTTGGCAATTGGGCATCTAGGTAGACCCTGACTTATTTAGGGAGCTGCCTGGGTTTTCTGTCATCATCTCTGTGTACTATGGGAACAGGTTTCAGAACTTTTAGGCTGGATTCTCTGTGCTGATCCCTGCCCTAGACATCATATAAAACATAGATCTTGTCCCTGAAAAGACCAGGTAGGGCTTTCTACTCCTGGGCATAGGCAGCCAGCTGTTCTGGCACCTGAAATTAAGTTAATTCCTCAGGACAAAGATATGTCTTCCAGAATCTCCTCAAAGAAAATCTTCAATACAGGGATGACATCATCACTTGCCTTAAGAACAACCAAGCTCTAGTAGTATTGCCCAGGTGACTGTCACATCATAGCCAGAGGGCCACCAGTGCAAAAACCCAGATACCATACTCCTGCCCACTTATCTTCTTCCCCCAGGGGCACTTCTTCTATGCCTTTGGCCTGGCTTTTGACATCAAGTCCTTCAGGAATGATTTGTAACCAGTTTGGGGAAACTCTGGAAATTCATATGGGATGAAAAACCCCAGAACCCCTCAATAGACACTGGAGTTTATAATATGAAACAAAAGCTGCCCCTATGCTGCAGCACTCAGGAAGTTGTATGTGTGAGAAGCAAGCATTTTTTTCAAGTGTTTTCCACATATTGCCATATAAAATATAGGGGTAGTGAAATAGGGGAAAGTGTGTTCCCCAGAACTCCTTTAAGGGAGGACTATATTTGGAATAAATATTTGAATATGCCTCCTGAAAGGAGAGTGACATTCCCTCTGACAGTGACCTCTCTTAAAATCATATTTAAACAATGATTGCAGAACTTCAGTGTATTAAGCAGGAAGACAAAATTTTTTTCTCCTTAGCAAGAGGCAAGGGAGGGGGAAGACGAGAATCAGCACTGTGGTGCAAGGTTATATCAAGAGTCAGAGCTCCCTCCAAGGACCCTATATCCATCCCAATCCTCCATAAAGTTCACCAAACACAAACGAGCAATTTGTTGTTACCCCTGAGTTTAAGAGTTATTGGATTTCAATGATGTGGTTGGGCTGGGGTTGTGGCTCAGTGGTAGAGCGTTTGTCTAGCATGTATGAGGCCCTGGGTTCGATCCTAGGCACCACATGAAAATAAATAAATAAAATAAAAGTACTGTGTCCAACTACAACTAAAATATACATATATTTTTAAATGATGTGGTGAAAGAGACACATAGAGGATGAGAAATTCAGAGATCAGGAAAAAGTCAGGCCTTTGAAAATTAGAGTAAGTTTTTGGGAAAGAGGGCTTTGAACTTCTAGAGGCCAGGTAACTAGGAGGTTCAAGGTCATTGGACCTGGAATGTGGAGGACAAGTGTTTCCCTGCTGATTTCCCTTATGTATTCAGGGAATCATGAATTTTATGTTTGCAATATAGAAACAAAGGATGTCCTTGTTCATAAAATGCTAGCAGTGAGGAAAACCTCCCTAGCCAGGTGTTTGGGCTTGGTATACCTAAGGATCCAAACTAGAGCAAAAGGGCAACTGCACCTGGCGGTAATGGTGAATGAATGTGAGGGGTCTTGAGATGGGGAAGGGCACAGGTCAGAGCAGTCCTGCGTCCTGGGCTGGATATGAGAAGGCTATTGGCAGGTGAGAACAGAATAGTAAGATTAGGGTCTGACCTGGGCTTGTCTGGAAGGACAGCTCCTTGATGCTCAGAAGGACCTTGGCGCTCGTCCAGCTGGTCCCAAGCGCCACCCACGCACTTGAGCTTCTTCCTTTCTCTGTTGTTGAGCTAACCCAGAATTTGTTTCATTTCTAGGTGGCAAGACAGGGCAGGCCCCTGGTTCTCGAGCGCCTTCTCCCCGGCTTCCCACCAAAACCATTAGTGGCCCGCTTAACCCCCCTGCATCTCCCAGGCTAGGCAATGCTTCTGAGGCCCAAGGCGCTGCCAGGATAGTCCCTCCTCGCCCCAATGTGCCCGCCCCACCTCCACCTCCTCCGCCCCTACCTCCACCTCTACCACCGTCTTCCCCCACCAAGGCCTCGCTGGTGTCCCCACCCGGCCTACCGACCAAAGGGAGCTCTCCTGCCATTGCACCCACTGTCCCCTGCCCTCCTCCGCCTCCACCTCCGCCACTTCCTCCGACTCCACCCCCTCTGCCCCCGGCCTCCCTACTCAGTGACAAGGCAGTGAGGCCTCAGCTGGCCCCCTTGCACCTCCCGCCCATCCCGCCCCCGCTCCCTCTCCTCCCACCCTGTGGGTATCCAGGACTCAATGAGGAGCCTGCCAGCCCCGCCCAAGAGGTGCCAGAGCCTCCCGCCCCGCCGCCGCCGCCCCCTCCGCCGCCCCCACTCCCCCTGTATGCTTCCTGTTCGCCCAGGGCTTCGGTGCCAGCGCCTCCCTTGCCAGGCGCTAACAACAGCAGCGAAACCCCTCCCCCGCTGCCCCCCAAGTCCCCCAGCTTCCAGGCCCAACAGCAGAAGGCCAGCGCGCAGGGCTTGCCCGCACCACCTGGCCCTCTGGGACCTCAGCCGCTCCTGCAGAAGAGGAGGATCTGCAGAGGCCCAGGTAAAGCAGCCCAGTCCGCGGAACCCCGTACAAACCGTGGGATGGTTCCAATCTCAGAATCTTGTTTTAGTTCAGAGCTACTCAGTGCCTCTGGGTAGAACCTTGTCCCTCTAAGGGACTTTATTGTTGGAAGTTTTCATTTTAGAGACGCAAACCAAGGGCGAGGGGGATTGAGAGACTTGTCCCAGATCCTGCAGAAGGTAAGGGAGGGATTCTGGCCATGATCCTCTTGCCATCACTGGCTGGGACCCTGGACAACCACCTAGCTGTCTGTGCGTCCTTCTCTGTAAGATGGGGACAGCAATCTTTCTACCTCCTGGGGTTGTTGTAAAGATGGAGGCCTTGTATGTGTTGCGCTTGGAACAGGGAATAGCAAGTGAGCTCTAGAGAAGGCTTTTGTTTTTGCTATGGACTTTCTATCTCCAGATCTACTCCTCGGGTGGGGCTTGTTTCCCAGCCCAGGTCTCTGGTTTAGTCTTCTCTTGAATTATTCCAGTCTGGCTCCCAGCCTGAATCTTCACTGGCCATCAGCAGATTGGATTCACATTCTGCCTTTTGGGAGGTTCTCAGCTGACTGGAGAAAACAGGGCCTGTATCTTTAGCCAAAAAGCAAAAATAATTCTTCACGTACAGAGCAGAGAGGATTGTGAATTGTTGATGGCTCATGACTTACTTCACTGGTCCCTGTAGTGGTAGACTTCATGCACTGTTGACGCCTTTCCACACAGAAGGTACCACCACACATCCACACACACCTGCATTCACACACACAACTCAAACACAACTACAAGCACTCTCTCAGCCTTACACACAAACACCCTAATAAATGCATACTCCATACACACACCCGTATACATACACAATTAACACATATACAACTCCCCACACACACATATCCATGCATATATTTTTTTTCTGTCAGTAAATCTCTTGATGCAGAGAGTTTCTTAAATGTATTTCCTTAAATTAAAAACAATGCCAGCTTATTGTGGAGCAAATAGAAATAATATCGCCTAGAGATGAAAACTGTCATTTGGATGTCATTTTCATTTTTTTCTGAATACATGTACGTTTACATGCTTAATACCACTTTGTACTTACAATTTTGTATTTTTATTTAATACTATATTAAAAGCAGTTTTGTCAAATTATTAAAATGTATAAGTAAATTTAAATGATAGTGGGTACATACATTTAAGTTGATTCCCTGTTTTTGTTATTATGAATAACAGTGTAGGATTTTAGTCTATACTTTGGATATTTTTTATTTTTTTAATTAATTTTTTTTCTTATGTGGTGCTGAATACTTTGGATATTTTTTATTTTTTTAATTAATTTTTTTTTCTTATGTGGTGCTGACGATCAAACCCAGTGGTTCACACAAGCAAGGCAAGCGCTCTACCACTGAGCCACAACCTCAGCCCTATTTGGGATATTTTTTAGAGGATAGGTTCCTAAGAGAGAATTCCTAGCACAAAGGGCAAGAATATTTTTAAGACTGTTGATCAGAAGAGATAAGGTTTTAGTCATTCTTCTTTCAACTGACTGGTCACCAGGAGGCCCAGCATTGAGAGTGGTGAGCCCTTTTGCTATCTGTGATTTTAAATGTCTGTGGTGGAGTGGGAAAAAAACATGTCTTGGATTTGGAGAGTTTTGAGTTCAGATCCTGGATTCCCTACACACTCCTGTGTAATCTGATGCCAGTTACTTGGGTTTTTTGTTTTGTTTTATCTTGACTTTTTTTTTTTTTTAACTCTGACAAGTAGGAATAACGACAGCACCTTTCACAGGGCATTGCTGTGACTATGCGGTGAGGGCCTGAGCATAGCTGGGGCAGCAGCCTGTTTTTTTCCTTCCTTCCTTCTCCTTTCCCACAAGGAGGGGCAAGTTCCCATCCAGAGGACGATCAGCAGTCTCTTTAGCCCTTTAGTCTCCTTGTGGGATCAAATAACTCCTAGGTGCCTAGGAAGAGAAGAGTGAGAGAAAGAAGCCTGGGACAGACCCTTTGGGCAGACCCTGCAGGGAAAGCAGGAGCTCGGAGGGCACCACTCTGCTGCTGCTGCTGCTGCTGCTGCTGGAACCCCCACCTGCTCCAGAAGGCTTGCCTGGCCTCTCCCTTGGTGTCTTTGGACGTGAAACTTGATTTCACATATAAAATGGGGGTAACTTCTACTTCAGCTTAACTTGGGAGAAGGGAAAGAAGTTATAATTGTAAGCAACTAGCACAGGGAACAGTGGTGTACTGGCAAAGTGATGGTGGCAATGTCATTGGGGAAATAAGCAGCAGTAGGGTATATATAATGAGGAGCCAGGACACTGGGCTGTAGACTGCCAAGGGTCCCACAGAATAGCACAGGGAGAGGAAGGAGGAGCCTCTGGCCATTGACCAGGGAAGGCTTGAGGGTGTAGGTTGGATTTGAGTTGGGCCTTGGTGGTCGGGAAGGATCTAGGTTGGACCTGAAGGAGAATAAACAGATTGCAGTGCAGAAGAGCTGGTGGGGGCAGAACCCAGTGGGAGCAAAACCTGAGGGTAGGAACATGCCCCTATGACCCATTCTTCTGGCCTCCCTCTGGGCCCTCACCTAGCAACTACCTTTGCTGTTCCTATCACTCTGCAGTGGGGCCATTCCTTGGGCTGTATCATCTTTCTTTTGGGGGGGGGGATACCTAGAATTGAACTCAGGAGCACTCAACCACTGAGCCACATCTCCAGTCCTATTTTGTATTATATTTAGAGATAGGGTCTCGCTGAGTTGCTTAGCACCTTGCTTTTCCTGAGGCTGGCTTTGAACTCATGATCCTCCTGCCTCAGCCTCTCAAGCTGCTAGGATTACAGGCCTGTCCTACCATGCCCAGAGGGCTGTACCATCTTATAATGAGGGTCATCATTAATATTATCACAACTATGGAGCACTTATTGTATACCACTTGACTGAAATCAACTCATTTAGTCCTCTCAACCCTAGGAGGTATAGGTCCTAGTATTCTCATTTTACGGATAAGAAAACTGAGGCACAGAGAACCTGTTATTTGTCCCAATGAGGGAACTATGATTCAATCTCAGTTTGGCTCAAGCAGTTGCCCTTTTAATCTCTATATCATATTATAGCCAGAGACCTAAATGTCTAATCTCTCACATAAAGTTATAACATCGCTGTCCCCATTCCTAACTCTGAATGCTCTGTCATCTTCCGCATAAGGGACCAGTGGTGGAAAGCTAAATCCACCTCCAGCACCTCCTGCAAGATCACCCACCACAGAGCTTTCAAGCAAGAGCCAGCAGAACCCTGCCTGGACCCCCACCCAGCAGCCCGGAGGTCAGCTACGGAATGGAAGCATGCACATCACCGGTAAGCAGGTGCACACCTGAGGGGCTGGTGCCAGTGAGGAAGTGATTTCCCCTGGCCCCTGGAGAGAGCTTATGTGCTTCCCAGTGAACTGTGGGCTCACACAGATACAGGACAGCCTACAGGGCCTGTGAAATAGGGTTTCTTTTACCACCTTCACTATAGTTCCAGGGCCTACTCTTAGACTTCTGACTCAGATTAGAGAACAGAAAGAAAACCAGCATTTGAATTCTCTCTTTCTGTGTATGTCTCTCTCTCTCCATGGAGACTGAGAGACCAGAGTGATTTGGATAAGGGCAAGGAGTGGGTGGAAGGCCCATGAGGTAGGGGGACAATTGGAGCAAAACTATGGAAGTAGGAAGTTAAAGGCACCTGGAGTTGGATGTGACTGCAACACCTCTGCCCCCCTTCTGTGTGCTAGGCTATGGTCAGACATAAGACCCAGCTCAAAAGGCAGGAGTCAGCCCAGGAAAGGGAGACATGACCACTCCTCTTCTCTCCCCAGGAGCTCACTTCTGCCCCCTTAGGAGCTTCCTTAAGATGTTGGTTGGAGTAGTTTGGTGGGTGATGGGAAATCACTGCTGATCTCACTCTACTTCCCCTCCTCCCAGCTAAGCAGTAAAACTTGAAAGGTGGATGGATGTCTTGGGGGGAATAGCCCTTCTGTCAACACCTTTGCACAGAGCAAGCAAGCAGAACACAGTGCATTTGCTTAGAGTGACGTGTGTTCTCCTGGAGCAATCCAACGTGGGGCCTGCCAGTAACCCAACTAAACTGTACCATTTCCCACATGTGCAGATGACTTCGAGTCTAAATTCACGTTCCATTCTGTGGAAGACTTCCCCCCTCCGGATGAATACAAACCATGCCAGAAGATTTACCCTAGCAAGGTCCCCCGAAGTAAGTACTACCTTGACAAGACTTCTGGCTTTTCCTGACACTCCTAAAGTAGGTGCTCAGTGTGTATTGATTGACCAGAGACTGCCTGCAGGGTGACATCATGATTTTACTGTTCTGCTGCAACGATACAGTGTGTTCATACTTAAGTTTCAGAATATGTATTTGTCCTTGCATATAAGAGTTCACTTGGAGATTTTGTTTTTGTTTTTTTGCACAACACCAGGGTTAACAGGCATCAGATTTGGATACCTAAATTTACCACATATCCCTCTCCTCCTGGGACTTTTTTTTTTTTTTAGTTGTCAGTGGACCTTTATTTTATTTACTTATATGTGGTGCTAAGGATCAAACCCAGGGCCTCACACATGCTAGACAAGTGCTGTCTACCACTGAGCCACAACCCAGTCCCTGGGACTTTTGACTAGGAAGCTAAATGCCCCCAAACAACACTGAAATGGGATACAGAGACTTTACATGAATGTCTGGGAAAGAAATAGAATTCCCCCCAATTCAGAATTCTGACAAATCAGGCAGTGGAAAATATCCTTATGCCAATGGTTCTCAACCATGGCTGGCTGCCCACTGGAATGACCTAGGAGCTTTTAAAAGACCTGAACTCCAGGCTGCCTCTTATCAAAATATCCAGGTGGGACCCAGATGTCACTATTTTTGAGAGCTGCCAGGTGATTCTGGTGTACAATCTAGGTTGAGACTTAGCCAGCCTCCTGCTGACTGAACAGTGTGGTCAGGCTCCAAGAGAGGCTTTAACTCAGCTCACCTGTTCATCCCTGAGAAGAGAGGAGGAGACTGAGGCTGAAATAACAGGGAAGTGAGAGAAAAGTGAGGGTGGGGTACTACCGCACTATGGCTGCTCACTGGTTAAATTGAGCCAATTCTTGTGCAGTGCTGAGCTAGCCGGACTGGACAAGGGGTAGTCGAAGGCAGCAGATTCAACAGTATGGGGTGAGAGTTGGATGTGTTCCTACCCTGTTGCCTAAGTAAGGACCCCGTCGCACTCACCTGAGCACCCTAATGAAAAGTCATCAGAGTCCAGGGCTAGCATGAGACCAGGAATTGGGGACCAGGTTCAGTGGCCCTGTCCTCTCAGAGGGGCATTGGTGAGGTCCCTTCTGCAGAGGAGCAGAGGTGCTCAGCCTGCTCTGGTCAGGGCAGAGGGCTCTCAGCACCAGCCTGGGTAGAGTTCCCTCTTCTGGCTGTTGGACTGCCTGTCAGAGAGAGGGGCCTTGCGTCCTCTTTTAATCACATGTAAATACCATTTTTCTGACTTGAGAGAAAGGGAGTGGATTGTTATAAAGGTAGATGGGGGAGAAATCACATCCCTTTAGCTTTTAAAAAGACTGAAGAGCCAGCAGTTGGAGGAGGCAGGTGCTGCGCGGGTCTCACGTTCCTGCTCAGTTCAGCAAATGTGTGCACACTGCCCTTGCACAGCAGGCACCCTGCAGGCACCAGAGGCTGCAGAGTAAGAAGCAAGGTCCCCACACCACCCTCTGCCATGCACACTCCTGAGAGATGAGTGAGAAGTTAACCGCCATACATGACAGTGTCTTAATGACTTGAGTGTTAGGGGCATTGAGGGGAAGGAGTAGAAGGTGGGGTCACAGTGGCCTAGAGAGAGGGCACTCTTTGCACATGCCCAGGAGAAAGCATGATAGCATGGTGCATTTAGGAACCATAAGTCCCCTATGGTACTTTAGGCATAAGGTGCCTGATTGAGTAAGGCTACACAGGCTACCATAAGTTGGGGAATGTCACTAAATAACATTCTTTTCTCATCTTATGAAATAAGCACAATAATCTTGTGAAATAAGATATCAGTATGAAGACTTAGGGGTCCCCGTTCTCATTGGGCATGACTTAGGAAGTCAGCAATGGCAGACTTCATACAGCCCATGGTGCCTGAGAATTGGAGAGCTACCTCAGCCCCACTCAGCCTGCCCAGCAGGGAGGGCACAGCTGGCAGTCTGTGCTCTATGCCTCATCGCAAGAGAAATGTTTGCCTCAGTGCCCACCTCAAAAGTAATCCCCTGCTGCTCAGAAAGGAACAGAAAAAAAAAATGTCTGCTAAATGAACTAACATCTTACAGACAAGAAAGGGAAATTGCAACTTCAAAAATAAGGTAACTATTTTCGATTGACGTGGCATCAGTGGACATGAAATACTTTGGGAGATTCCCTCAAAATTAAATGAGCATATTCTTGCCATCCTTGTGAATCACAGGGGAGAGCCTTGTTAATGATGTTAGTGTGATCACATTTCTCCGTGCAGTTTTCCTCTCCTCGCTATGGAACTGGTTCCCCAAGATATCGGAGTCTTCATGGTCCAGGAGTCAGTGTTGTTTCTGTGAGACACATGGGTTCTCATGCTCAGGGGTAGCAGTGCTCACTTTGTCTCATCCTGCTTGTTTTCTCTCCCCTTCCTTCTAGAGCGCATGCATGCTAAAGTACACACATACCACAGTACACAAATGCCCTAATATTTAGCTTTTCCAATGGATGTATTCACTGTCTCTGCTCTGCCGTTAATGGCTATTTTTTTTCCCATTGGTAAGATGTTTTTGTCTAGTTATTTAAATATTTTAGTGATGCATTATGTTCTTCAATGATTTAAATATAAAACATATCACCTGTGTTAGTCGCTTTTCCTTTACTGTAATACAATAACCAAGATAATCAATTAAAGAGAGAAAAGACTATTTGGCTTACAATTTCAGAGGTTTCAGTCCATGGTCGACTGGCCCAGTGCTTTTGGGTTTGTGGTAAGGCAGTATCTTATGCAGATGGTGAAGCAAAGCTTGGGGCAGCCAGGGATCAAAAGAGAGAAAGAGACTAGGGTCCATAGTCCCCTTTAAGGGCACACCCCCATGACCTAAGACTTCCCACTAGATTCCACCCCTTAAAGGTCTCCACCAAACCACAGAGCGCCACAGGCCGAGGACCAAGCCTTGAAGACATGGGCCTTTGGGGGACTTTCCAGATCCAACCTATAGCATGACCCATCAATTCCTCTCCTGGGTATAGACCCAAAAGAATTTTAAGCTAGTCTTCAAACAAAGCACTACACTATGAATGCTGTGCAGAAACATTCATAGCAGCATAATTTACAATCACCAAAAAGTGGAAATGACTGATGAATTGATGGACAATGCATGATCATCCTATAATGAGATATGATTCAGCAATAAAAAGGAATGAAGTACTGAGACATGCTAGGGCATGAATGATGCTTGAAAACATTATGCTAAGTTAAAGAAACCAAATAGGACAGCCACAATTGTAGGATCCCATTTATATGAAATGTCCAAAATAGGCAAATCCATAGAGTCAGAAAGTTAGATTAGGCATTCCAGGGACTGAGGGTTGGAAAATGGGGAGTGACGGCTAATGGGTATGGAGTTTCCTTTTGAGGTGGTGAAGATGTTTCAAACTCCAGGATACTTTTCATCTTGTAAAACTGAAATTCTACACCCATGGATTAATAACTCCATGTTTCCCTCTCCCCCCAGCCCCCCGGCCCCTGGCAAACACCATTCTACTTTCTGTCTCTATGATTTTGAGTACACTAAGTACTTCCTATAAGCAGAACCATACACTATTTGCTTTTTGTTACAGGCTGATTTCATTTAGCATGATGTCCTCAAAGTTCATTCATGTAATTTATGTCAGAATGTTCTTCCTTTGTAAGGCAGAATAATATTCCATTATATATGTATGTATACATACACACACACACACATACACAAATACCACATTTTGTTTATCTATTCACTGGATGATTGGGTTCTTTCACATTTTAGCTCTTAAAAATATTTGCTGCTATGAACAGAGGTATACAAATGTCTCCTTAAGACCCTGATTGTCACAGCAAACAACTAAACCAGTTAGGGTCACTCCAGGTGAACTGGGCTGGCATGAAATAATGACACAGAAATACCTTTTTCTTTGGGTTCTATGATAGCTCTTCTGATCCAGCTCCCACAAAGGAGTTAAGGCAGGCAAGAAAGAGAAAGAGCACACCTCGAACCCAGTTTTATTGGGGAGAAGCCATTCAAATGAAGCAAGGAGTCAGGTTTCAGGGGGTCGAGTCTAGCTTCGCGATATTCCCAGGTCAGCATGTTGACTGACATCTTGGAAGACCACATCCATCTCATGTGCTGTGAGATGATCAAAGGCAGAACAAGCGAAAGGGACACATCTGGGCACAGCCCAGACAGAGCTGCATCATCAGTCCAGTCCGCTTGTGTGTTCAAAATGCTCACAGCTCACACACACACAGCCCATGGCTGGCTTGCCATATCTCTACATTCCCATCAATCAAAACTAGGGGGTGCTCAACTCCTACGTGGCAGCTCCTGACACCTGATTCCAAATTCTCTGGGGTATATATCTCAAAGTAGAATGGCTGGGATGTATGGTAATTTTTATTTGTAATTGGATGAGGAACCTCCATACCAGTTCCCATAGCAGCTCCACCATTTTACATTTTCACGAAAAGCACATAAGGGTTCCAGTTTTTCTCCGTCCTTATCAACCCTGATTTTTCAGTTGTAAATCTTAATTTCATTTCACAGTAGAGTCTAGTGAGTGCAAAGTGATATCTCATTGAAGTTCAACTCCTCTTTGAAAAGAATTATTTTATGTTTAAAGTAAAACTTGGCCACCATTATTTCCAGGAGCTGTGCAACTTCTCCACTTGGCAGTACAATGACTTTAGCTGTATTGGGTGGATCATGTCACAGAAATTAAAAAGGATGAGATGTTCCAAAGCTGAGAGAATCCGTAGAAAAAGCACACCTCAGGGGGAGAGTAATTATTTCTGCCTTTGTAGTGGGCAGTTGGGCAGGACCCTCTGCCCCAGCGAGCGTTTTTTGGCTACTCCTGATACTTACTGTCAGCCATAGCCCTTCATAAACTGTCTTCCAGCCTCCTACTCCTTCACCACAACTTCTGCCTTTCCTGGGCATTTCTTTATTTCTCTGAACCTGCAAAGGTGCTTTGATGTCTGTAAAATCTGTCCCTTGATCTACTCTGTCCCTGAGCCTTCTCTGCTCCTCTTTGAGCCAGCAGTGTCTCCCTGTCTCACTTCCTCTCCTCCTGTTCTCTCTCCAGCCGAGTCCTCCCAGTCCTTCTCCCCTCCCTGCCATGACAAGAGCTGCTATCAAGGCCACCAGTGGACCTCCTCCTTGCCAAATCCCATGTTCAGAGGCATCAGGGTAGTGTACAACCCCTTCTTCCAAAGCTCTTCTCCCACTTAAGATTTCCCAACAGCTCTCCCTCTCCTTTCTACTTCCCCTGATCTCTGATGGCTCTTCCATTTTTTTTAATACCAAAAACCTCAGAATCATCTTCAACTTCTTTCTCTTCTCCCACATTCAACTTAGCAGTAAACTCTAGGGCATCTTCCAGTGAAATGCATCTAGAATGTGATCTCTCTCACCTCTTCTTCCACCCCAACCCTGGCCTAAGCATTTCTTTCCCAAATTACCCCAGGAACCTGCTAACAGGCTTCCCTGCTTCCCACTGTAGCACAAGTGATGTGTCTAAAGCCCCAGCCCAACCAAGCTGCCCTCTGCCCCAGAGCCTTCAGTAAATTCTCATCTTGCTCCAAATCAATGAGAAATTTTTATCATGGTTCATAAGACCTACATGAACTGTCCCTCTCCTCTTGAACCACTCTCCTCCCACCTTACTTGCTCTGACACCACCTCAATTTCTAGAACATTCAAAGCACAATTCTCCTCTGGGTTCTTTGCATCTGCTTTTCCTTTTGTATGAGACATTTTCCTCAGATAGCCACAGACTCATTCTCTACTTCCTCTGGATCAAATGTACCTGTCTATCAGCTCAGGCTGCCAAAACAAAATACCATAGACTGGCTGGCTTAACAGACGTATATTTTCTCACAGTCTAGAAGCTGAAAAGATTAGGTGCTGGCTGATTCAGTTTCCTGCTTTGACAGAGGAAACTCTGTCAAAGAGTTTGAGAGCCACCTTCTCACTGTACTGACATGGCAAAGAGGAAGAACCACTTTCTAGTATGAGGGCACTAATCCCATCAGGGGACCCACCCACATGACCTCATCTAACCCTGATCACCTCCCAACAAAAGCACATCTGCCAGTACCATCACACTGGTATTGAGATTTCTACATGTGAATTTGAGAAGGGGGGACACAGTTCAGTCCACAGCAGTACCTTATCAGACAATCCTTGACTGATGTAAAATAGTAGGTCTCTCTGGCCCATCACCTTTTATTCTCTTCACACTGTTTTTTAATGTCTTCAAGGTATTTATTGCCTGCTGACATGTGATGTGTTTGCCTGCCCCTTGTCTGTCGTCCCCCATACAGGGTAAGACCTGAATGGCAGAGAAGGCACCAATTTTATGCACTGGCCCATCTCCAGCTCTCAGAATGGAGTGAGGCATGCACTCAGTAAATACTTGTTGAAAAAAAATACTCACTCATGTATACATTGCTCAACCATTTATAGAATAAAAAAATTGGAAATATCACAAATCTCCATCAATGGAGTTTAAAAAATTAAAGCAGAGCCACAAAATGGAACACCAGGAAAACATTAAAACAATGTTACCAAATATTTAGCACATTGAGAAAACATCAACACCATCTTGAATGAATAAAATAATACCAAAAAAGTACACAAAAAATAGATACGATCTATTTTTTTTTTTGTTGTTGTTGTTGTTCCGGGATTAAACCCAAGGATGCTTAAACCCAAGGATACTTAACCACTGAACCACATCCCCAGCCCCCCCTTTTTTTTTTTTTTTAATTTTGAGACAGGGTCTCTCTGAGTTGCTTAGGGCCTCACTAAATTGCTGTGGCTTTGAACTTGGGATCCTCCTGCCTCAGCCTCCCGAACTACTGGGATTACCATTGTGTGGCTCTGCGTCCTGCTTATGATTTAAATTTTTTTAAAAAAATAAAATAAAAGTAACTTGTGTGTTGATGGAGAAAAAGAGAATTTGATCAAATAGAGGAAGAGACTAGAAATACACCAAAATATGAAGTGATTGTCACTCAGTGCTTGTCTGTGTTGTCTAAATTCTTTTGATAAATGAATACTGCTTTCAGTAATCATTGAAACTTTTAGATTGCAAATTTTGGGGAGAGAGAAGAAGATTAGCCCACCCACAGGTCCATCTACCTGTGCAGGAAGGGAGGCATGTGGCATGTAGGGTGACCGCTCTTAGCTTAGGCTTAGTCCAGAGGAGATGTGCTCAAAGGGATGACGAGTCTCCAGGGCCCACCAGTTCTATGATAGCAGTGACAGTAGAGAAGGAGAGAAAAGGCCAGATGGAAGGTTTAGATCCAATGGAACCTGTCATTCCCTTCACTTAGAGATTACGAGAAGGCCCTTTGGTGCCATCTGGCTTCATGTACAGCTGGAGAAACCAAGGCAGAGTACAGAGGCCTGCCTCTGCTGCCTGTGGTCAGGGCTAGTTCAGATCTCTGCTCCACGACCAGCGTGATCTTTGCGTCTGGGCACGCTACCTCCTCACTTTCCTGCCACGGTAGACTGAGGTTGGGCAGACCGTTGGCCCTGCGCTGATGGTTAGGTCTGCTCCTCACACAAGTCTGCCTTTCCCGAGCCCACCTTCCCAGCTCCCAGGAATTGCACTCCAAGGCTGGCAGAAGAGTCTCCAGGAGGCCCTGCCTTAATGGCCAGCCAAATTTCTAAATCCTTTCTGGACACTCTCCAAGTCCTACATATCTATTCTCATGTCACTTGGTTACAGAATGAATTTTTTCCCCCTAATATGAAAATGTGGCTATGGCTGGAGAAAGATACAAGGCGAGTTTTGGTTTGCACATGAAGGAAAAAAAGGCTGAAAGCCAGCTTGGCCCTGGGTCCTGCTCCGTCAGCCCCGGCACAGACATTCCTCTTTTAACCTCACAGTGCAGAGGAGTGTGCACCACGACTGCTGCTCCCAGTGTTCCTCAGGGCCACAGCTGCATTCGCAGGGAAGCAGAGCCCTCGGTTTGCAGGAGATCGCAGCAAAGGCAGCAAGCAGCGTTCACTCCGTGGGCTCTGCCAGTGCAGTAGGGGCTGGATGGAGATGGGGAAGAGATGTAAAAAGATTTTTACTCTGAGCTCCAGTACCAAAAGTTTGAAAACTGTAGTTTGGATGAATATGAATTACCTTTCCATGGGGAATAGCCGATGTGATGGACGGTTTCCATAGAACGGCCCCACTTGATGAATTCCAGAAGGTTCTAGTGACATTTTATAAGGGGAAATCCCTTCAAAGCCATTTTTAAATCCAAAGCACTCTGTCTAACCCTGACGTTGTCTCCGCCACTCACTTCTGGCACCAGTGAAATTTCTCTTGCACTAAGGCCGGAGTTGTCTTTTCTATTTTATGGAGAACTCACTGATTCTCCTTTAACCTCTCTGCTCTTGTTTCCAGGCATCTGTATCAAAACTAGGGAGAGCTGTTTACCTGGGGAAGCCTGTTTTATTACCTAATGCTCTTCAAATGGGGAGATGTTGGCCCCCAGGGACCAGTCAGCCATGTATAGAGTCAGGTTTGAGTTTACAATTGGGCATGGGCCTGGGGCAGGAGTGTGACTGGCACCTAGTAACAGAGAGACCAGTTCTGCTGTTAAATGTCCTACAGCACAGAGGACGGCCTCACCACAAAGAATCATAGAGCCCAATATGTTAATAAAGCCTGGATTGTGAAACCCAGACCTAGAAGATTTTTCTGTAGTGGACAGGAGTTTCTGAGATTTAAAAATAGTCATTCCCAAGGCTATCTTCTCACAGGGAATCAGATCAGGGGCTGTCTGTGCCTTTTTACTTTTACTCAAACTGGCTCAAAAATCTGAGATTCCCTGCATCATTTGCTCCAAAATATCTTTATTCTAGACCCAGTGCACTCATTAATTTAAAAAAAATGTTTTAATGAAAGTTACAGTACCCATTTATTAATGTTTTGTTAAGTTTCAGAGACCCTTCTGAGTGACAGTTCATTTTTAAAACTGTACCATACAGAGTTGTCCCAATGGTTAATATATGCTCATGGTAGAAAACTTCAGAAGTATTTATTCACAGGAATTTTAAAAAATAATAATTCTACTCAAGAGGAAAGATTTCCATTTATTAATTGTGTTTTTAGTGAATTTTAAAAATAATTGAGACTGTTCTATTTTATACAATTTAGTTCCTCCAAATCAACACTTTGTAAAAAGACAGCTGCTTCGTACTCCATTATATGATACTGAACTCTAGATTACCTAGAACCTTTGATTGAACCCAGGTTATTATCAGTTTTTCAATATCATAAATAATTCGTGATCATTGTTTCTTTATTACATGCTGTTTTTTAAGTAGCACAGCAACCTGGACTCTCCTGGGCTCTGGGTCTAACTGACCCTGGCATGGTGCCTGGTACACTGTAGATGGGTGTAGCTGAAGGTTGTGGTGAGCCATGAGTCAGGAAGCGCTAACAAGCTTAAAGATGATGGGCCTCACGAGATGCTGTCCTTGCAGCATGGACATGAGGACCCTGTGTCTGTGGTCTGTGGCTTTGAGGGTGGGGCGGAAGCCCAGTCCAGGGCCAGGAGCCCAGTGGTCTCAGGTTTCCAGGCTCACCTTGCCCTGGGTTCCTTTGCTGGTGTGGAAGTGCTGGCTGAGCGGGTTTCTTGGTGGAGTGGGCCCAACCTTCCCCAGTCCAATCAATGATGAGATCTTCCTTGTTTCTCTCAGGTCACACACCTGGTCCCTGGCTCCAGACCGAGGCAGCTGGACAGAGCCCAGATGACATCAAAGGCAGAAATGCTCAGGTAACATAGCCCTCAAGGAGATTCTCCTGGGGAGCCTTCCTCAGACTCATTTTCTTTGTGGAAAGCCATTTTGGCATGGCTTTGTTTCAAGCCAGAATGGAACACTTAGAATTCAAGAGCTGAAGCATGGAAGGGGCCCCCAGAATCACTACCACATGCAGAAGCAAGTTGAGCCACTCAGAACCCCCTTTGGACTCATTCTGCTGTCATCACCCCAGTCCCTGCCTATTCTTCCCTGAGTAGGATAGTTTGAGAAGCCTGTGAGAAAAACCCTGTAGCATTTATAAAATCTAATTCAGTGTTCTCTCTCACCTGTAGAATACGTGGCTCCTTTTGGTGCCCTTAGAGCATTTTCCTCCATTAATATTATAATTGATTTTGGCCAGATTGACTCACAAGCCAAGTCCTTTGGCTATAGGAAATTGACAAGGCCAGGAGGAAGACCACAGGGGTGCTTTTGTGCTAAGACAGTCTTGGAAGAAATGCCCTTGCTCTCACCCCATGCAACTTAGAAGTGTCTTCTAACCTGGGCAGAGGTGACATCTCTCACTGTACAAAATGAAGTCTCAGGTTTAAAAGTCCTTTGTTTCTTTGAAAACATGTACAGTCCTACTCTGGCCTCATCCTGTTTCAGGGTTCTGTGTGATAGACAACGGGCTGGCTTGCTGGTACGCTGGGCCACCCCGCAGCGGGATGGAATGTGAAGGAAAGTGACCTAAGAAGGAAGGGCCTCGATTCCTAAAAGCCAGGGTAGTCCCTGGGACAGGCGATAGGTACTTCCTCTGGCAAACAAGCATTTCCCTTCTCTAACCTCAGCTAACCCAAGAATAGCAATATCCATTCTCAGGTTCAAAACAGGTATACAACTGTAGTTAAAGAAGCATATGCACATAAAAAAGAAAGAAGAGAGGAAGAATATGCACAGAATTGTTACTAGGTGGAGGGGATTCTGAGAGGATGATAGGATAAGACACACCAGGAATCTGTCTCCCCACCTGAACAACAATTGCACTGGCAAAACCCATCTGAATGGAACTCTGTGTAGAACTCTGGGGTCTACTGAAGGCTTGCAAGATCCAGGGAATGCTTGGAGAATAAATCAGAAGTGGTTTTTAGACGATTTCAGCTTGTAACAGTAGCTGCTGAGCATCCCCCACCCCAGCCATCCCCATGGCAGGCAGCTATGCATGTGTTCTTGGAGTAACTTGCACACAGTTTGGGGGAGCCAAGAAGGGCAAAGGAAAAAAAATACCCCCATCCTCCACACGTTGGGGATCTGGGCTTTAATTGCCCACTGCTGCTTCTGAAAACATGGGTGCAGGTAAAGAGGTAGCATCTCCCCTGCACCTCTTCCCACCACTGCAGCTCTGTCTCCTTTTGGCTGAAGCAACTTCCAGGAGAATTTTTTTTCTTCCCTTCATTTTACTGTTTCTACTTTTGGAAGCCAAACGTTAAAGACCAAGCTGTTTGAAAGCAACTTCATATGTGGGGGAAATTAGGAAGTAACCACGTATGTTCAAGGGAAAAGTCATAGGCTCCAGAAAGACCTGAGAAGTCCTTAAATTTACACCTCAAGCTGATTCTTGGCACAGAGATAACATACAAAAAATAAGATAAAAATAGAATAGAATAAAATTAAAATGATAACAAATACTTCTAGCAAATTCTGGGGAAGGAAGAGGATCTGCTTTCTAGTGTTATGGCATTGTTTGATTCGGATATCATTCCCAACAACAAAAAAGAAAATCACAAATTACACAAAGAAGTAGAAGAGTGAAGACCACTCAACAACAACAACAACAAAAGTATCTTTGAAAAAGGGTTGATGGCAGATATATTAGACAAAAGAGTTTAAAACAGCAGTCTTAAAAATGTTCATGCTGGGCATGGTGGCACATCCTTGTAATCCCAACAACTTGGGAGGCTAAGATAGGAGGATAGCAAGTTCAAAGCCAGCCTCAGCAACTTAGTGATGCTCTAAGCAGGTTAGTGAGAACCTGTCTCAAAACAAAAAATTTTAAAAAGGGTTGGGGATGTAGCTCAGTGGTAAAATGTCCCTAGATTCAATCCCCCCTACAAAAAATAAGTAAATAAATAAATTAATGGCAACTCTCCTTTTTTTAATAGTAGATGGACACAATACCTTTATTTTATTTTTATGTGGTGCTGAGGATCGAACCCAGTGCCTCACACATACTAGGCAAGTGCTCTACCAACTTAGCTAGAGCCCCAGCCCAAAAGGCAACTGTCTTAAAGTTGCTCAAAAAAGTAATGGAAGATGTGGATAAATTCAAGCAAATGATGTATGAACAAAATGGAAATATCAGTAAAGAGAAAGAAAACAAAGAAATTCTGAAGCTGAAAAATACAACTGAAATGAAAAATTCACTAGAGAAAATGAAAGGCAGACTTGAGCCAGCAGAAAAACAGAATCAGTGAACTAGAAGAAAGGACAGTCAAAATTATTAAGTCTGAAGACCAGAAGGAAAAAACATTTAAAAGTGAACAGAGCCTGTCAGAGCTATGGGACACCATCAGGTGTTATCAGGGAGACGAGAGGGGCATAGAAGAATGTTTGAAGAAATAACAGCTGAAACTTTACAAATTTGATTAGAGGCACGAGTAAAAACATCCAAAAAGCTCAGTAAACTCTAAGTAAGATGAATACAAAGAGACTAACATCAAGGCACGCTATAATAAAACTTCTGAAGAATAGAGGATCTCAAAAGCAACAAGAGAATCGATTTGTCACATACCAGGTATCCTCAGGAAGGTTATTGGCAGATTTCTCATCAGAACTTTGGAGAGGACAAGGTGGTAAGCTAATATATTGAAAGTATTAAAAAGAAAAAAAAACCTGTCAACTGAGAATCCTATATTTGGCAAAACTGTCCTTTAGAAGTGAGGAAGAAATTAAGACATTCACATATAACAAAAGCTGAGGGAGTCTGTTCTCCCTCGCCTGCCCCGTGTCTCTGGCTTTCAAGAATCTCATGCCTTCCATCTTAGATCACCTTCCTGCACATTCCATGCAGCCCTGCAAAATGGTCCAATGTAGACACTGGACCATTTTACTTTCTTCCTAGTATACTTCTGTAATTTCTACAAGGAATATATTGCTCTTGTGATCAGCAAAATAGAATCATCATCATAATTATAGTCTCATATATTTATATAGCTCTTTACAGTTTTTAGTTGATTTGTATATGTTATCTCATTTGATCCTTTTAATAACCCTGTGATCAAACTGGAGAGAAACTTTTAATGCCATTTTTTTTTCAGTGCTGGGGATTAAACCCAGGGACTCACAGATGTGCTAAGCAAGTGCCTGACCACTGAGCTACACTCCCAGCCCCAATGTCATTTATACAAAAGAGAAAACTAGGCTCCAGAGGCTGATGGGTTTGTCGAAGGTCACATGCCCAGACCTTCTGAGCTTCCTCTGGTGCTCCTAACACTATATATCACTGCTCTTCCTGGTGTGTTAGAAGAGCCTTCCTCACCATCAATGGGGCAAAGCTAGGTGGGACATTATGCAGCATCTGGTCTCCAGCCTCATGGTGGGCACAAACCTAAATCACCCCAGACTTGTCTCTGCCCATGACAATCCAGTCAAGGATGGATTAAAAGTCTCTTTGGACATCCCACCAAGATCTCTGGAGATCATTTTCAATCATTTTCACTGCAGTGAGACACAAAGCAGCACCCAGAGAAACCAGTGGGCTCTGGCCAGCACATAGTGCCCGGGGAGTGCTCTCTCCTGCATGGATGCTGGGCTGGAAGTCTGAGGGTCTGACTTCCTTTCCCCCTTTTCCCTTGCCCTGACCTGGTATCTCCAGCATGTTCTTGGCTTTTCCTGAACTTCCTGCACAGTCAACTGCTGGTTCTTGGTCTCTTCTAAATGTTCATAAGTCAGAATTTTAGGTTGCCACACATCAACTTCATGCCCCATCTGGTTTGCCACCATGACCTCTTGGGTTAAAAAACCTCTCCTTACACACGATAGGACCATTTCCCAGCCTTGGTGGTCCTGTGTGAATGAGGAAAAGCTGTGTTTCCCACCCTTGGGTTCAGTGATTCTTCTAACCTCACCTGATAATCTTCTGTCATGTTTCCGCAGTTATCTCTAAAGACACTCCGGTGAGAAGACGGATGAAGCCAAGGTCCAGGGGTTCCATGTCACAGGATGAACATGTCAGGCCCCACCATACTCAAGCTGTATTCAGTCGACATACAGGCTCTGAAAGGAGCGCTTATTTATTGTAAATACGTGGTTTGCACGGGCTTTAAAGCAACATTTTAGTCCACTTTGAGTTATTTCAGTAATATTTTTAAAGACAACCACCATTTCTCCATTATTTAAAATGTATCTTGGCATTTGTCTGTACATACAGAGCCCTGCCCCACTCCATTGTGTCTATCCTGTGACTGTACATATGCTTGCGGGCTGGCCCTTCCTAGACTCTGAACCATTTTTAGACCGTCCTTAGTTTGTAGGTGGTCCCAAAGTCCTAAGTAGTCACAAAAGCTTCTTATTGGCATGACTTTATATTCTCATTGCACCAACTGCAAAATCAAACCAAATAATGCCTTATAAACGATGCAGCTCAGAGGAAGTAGTGTGTGCCCATACCCCGACGGTGCCGCGCAGCCTCCGGGGAGTGAGATGTCACGTCTCACTTCCATTTTGCAGTACAGGGATGTCTTTTTGCTGCCTAATGTAAATATACTGCAGTGTAAAGGCAGGAGTGGGCTCAGCCCCTCCAGTGCCTTCCACAGGGCCCTTTTGTAACTGAATTATCCTACAAGTAGCCAATGCTCTTACTGTTTACAGTGCTCCTAGTGCCCATGTCTCCATCACTTCCCTCCTGTCCCTCCAAATTCCCAGCCCCATCCTGGTAGTCCAGGTGAGGTCACCTTTATGAGATTTTGGTATTTTTTTTCCTTTAGGAAAAAACATACACTAATTCTGATTATCATGAACTGCTAATTCTATCCCAGAAGTCTCCCAATCTCCCAAAGAGGTTGCAAAGATTTCCATGGAATATATGAGAAACGTGTAAAACAAAATGTCTGAAGAAATATATGCCTCAAATATCTGGCCACCGCCCCACCCTGAGAATCTGGGAACCACCCATAGGCCACACTCAGCCCCCTTCCCAGCTGAGGGAAGATGTCACAGGTCCACAGCTTCCCCTTCCCCTGTAATGGGCACCTGGGGGCGGGTGCACATTCAGCTCCCTGATGATGCAGAGTCCAGCTGGGCTGGAGCTGCCCTTTACCTTTCCTTGAGCCAGCAAGGGCATGGAAGTGGACAGGGAACGCTGACACAGATAAAGGAGAGAGACTAGGAGGAAACAGACTGAGATCCCTGAGGAAATCGGAGAGGGAGAAGAGGAGGATAGCAGAAGTTTGCTTTGGAACAACCCACTCATGCCCTTGAACCTTGAGGATGCGTGACAGTGAGCCACAGTGAGCTGGGTTTGGCCAACGTGACTGCAGACCCCTCGCTGTGGTCTGGAGCCGATCAAGCTGGTGTCTTGCATCGGTGTGTGCTTGCTCATCCCAGGTGGGAGAAACTGAGTCAGCGTCAAGTATGCATCTCTGGGGCACAACTCAGGCCAAATTGTAACAGCTAAAATCAGTGGGAAAGAAGCTTTCGCAGGCCTTTTGCATTATTGATTTATTGTATTGGTTCTGGAAGTTTTCCAAGAAGTCTAGGATTTCATTTGGGGGACAGTATCCACTCTGCCTTCCTTCCGGTTGCATAAAATATTTACAAGAGCTTTAATTTGCATAATGGAGAAGGCCCTAGACACAGGCAGTTCCACTTTGGAGTGGACTGCCGGCCCTGGTGAGGCGTTCAGAAGTTCTGCTGGGATAGAAAATTTATAATAAAACCATTCAAGAACAGAGGGAAGGAAGGAGCAGAAACCAAAAAATGGCAAATAGGGAGCAACCTCAGGAATCCAGCATCACGTGTGTCCTCGAGACCTGTCACTGAACGCACACCCTCCAAGCTCGGGCAGTGTACAGGCTGAGCCCCTTGACCGTGGACTCATCAGAGAGGCGTCCCTGCCACCTCCCACATCCTCACTGACCCTGTTGTCTGTGACTCTCCCCCTGTTTCTCCTGTATTTTATATTTATTGATGCCTTCCTCTGCAGATTCATTTCTTTGTACCTAATAAACTAACTTTAATAAGTGGAAATGCTTCTGAGGTCATTTCCTAGTGAAAACCCATCTATGGTCACCAGTACTGATCTAAGCCAATTTTTTAATGGTAACATATTTATGAGATACTGTGTGATATTTTGAACGTACGATGTATAATGATCAAATTTGAGTACCAAGGTCAAACATTTTGGGGGGGGGGGGCACCAGGGATTGAACTCAGGAGCAGTCAACCACTAAGCCACATCCCCAGCCCTATTTTATATTTTAAGACAGGGCCTCACTGAGTTGCTTAGCTTTTGCTGAGGCTGGCTTTGAACTTGCAACCCTCCTACCCCAACCTCCCAAGTCGCTGGGATTACAGGCATGCACCACCGTGCCTGGGAAAGCCAAGGATTAGAAGTTTAAGGATCGGAAGGGCTTCTGAGAAGGCCACAACAAAATGGATGTTTACATGGACCCCGTGCTTGCTATAACATGCAGTGATGGAAACAGAGCCTTTCTTCTTTGAGCCAATTTACTGACTGTTTGGTTAAACCAAGCCTAGGGTTTGGGGGGTTCTTTTCAGGTATGTTTTTAAAGTAGCTAAAATTAGCCAAGTGTGGTGGTACACACCTGTAATCCCAGCAACTGGGGAGGCTGAGGCAGAAGGATCCCAAGTTCAAGGCCAGCCTCAGCAACTTAGTGAGGCTCTAAGCAACTCAGCAAGATCCTGTCTCAAAATTAAAAAACAGAAAGACTGGGGATGTAGCTCAGTGGTCAAGTGCTCCTGGGTTAAATTCCCAGTACCTAATAATAATAATAATAATAATAATAATAAAGCAGATAACTATATTTATTCAGTTTTATTAATATAGAATGGGCAGAGTGTATTGTTCATAAATTCTGCTAAATTGTGTTAAAATGGAAAAAAACTTTCAGCCTAAAATGCACTTGGACCCCCACTTCCTTAATTCAGCAAACCTCTCCAAAGAGCCTCCTGTGTGAAGCAAAACCATCTCTGACTCCATTAAGAGTGTTTTAGGTAGACTCTGAAGCCTGCTCTGGGGGAGATGTGGCTTATCTGCTAGGTGAGCTGGCTCAGGATGAAAGCTTAGAAAACACACACAGATTTGAGTCTCTATCATCTTGTATGAGTTTGGGAAAGTAAATTACTTGGCCTGTGCTTTAGTTGCACTACATGGATGTGTACCTGGGCATATAGAGATGAAGTTACATGAGCAGGCCCTGACCCTTCGGTCACTTCAGTCAGGCAAGGGCACACCCCTCCCTCTGAGGAGCCACCAGTTTGCGTATTTCATGCTCAGTCACAAACAGGGCTCTGCTGGCTGCATCCCAGTTGCTCCCTTTTGTCGCTGGCTGAGCTGCTGGGACCACGCTTCGCTAGCTGTGCTGTGGGATAACAAAGCAGGAGGGGTAATTAAAATTCATAGACGTTCCAAAAATAAATCTCATCTAGAAAATAATTTGAAAGCTAGCTACTACATGCTTCGCATCCTAATGAGTTAAGAAGCTGACTTTTTTTTTTTCCTGCTGCCATATTGGTGGAGGTACCAATAAGCTCTTTAGTGGCCAAAAAAGGCCAGTCTGAGTGGGGAAGAAGAGCAAGGGCCCAGGATAATCTACAAGGCAGGTGATGAATTCTAAAGTCCAGGCAGGTGGTAAAGGAGCTGAGCTTCACACTGAGGCACTTCTTAGGAAATTAAGAATGGGAGAGGTGAGAGGAACAACTTCATGAGAAGAGCTGTAGGTTCCAGAAGCTCTTCCAGGAGTTCCAGAATCTCAGACTGTGCCCCAAAAGGTTTGGCATCCTTCATGAACCCATTCTGTCATGGGTTGAATTATGTCCCCCACAAAATTCATATACAGAAGTCCTTACCTCCAGTATATCTCAGGATGGTACCTTATTTGGAAATAGGATGACTAAAGATATAATTATTTTCAATGAAGTCATACTGAAATGGGCCCTAAGTTCAATATGGCTGGTTTTCTTATAAAAAGGGAAAATTGGACATTGCCATATGCACGGGGATAATGTGGTATAAGAGGAAAGCAGAGGTTGGGATGATGCTAAAGATTTCCAGCAAAGCACCAGAAGCTGGTCAGGAGACATGGAACAGATTGCCTCTCACAGTCCTCAGATGGAACCAACCCCACAGACACTATGATCTTGCACATCACATCTAGGCTCCAAAGTCATGGAACAATAAATTTCTCCTGCTTTTACCATCCAGTCAGTGATACTTTGTTATAGCAACCCTACAAACTCATACCTACTCTTGGAGCTTTTCAGGAGTGTGTTACTTTAATGAAAAAAAAAAAATAAGCCGAGAATAAAATTTAAAGCAGCAATTCCTTATGTCAATGGAGCAGTCGTCTAATCTGATCTTGACTCGGGTCACTTGTTGCAGGTGGCTTAGTCCTATTTCCTGAACAAGACAATCAATTTTGCATGCCATAAGAGCAGAGAGGACTTTTTTTCTTAAGAGACATCCTTGTGTCATGGAGCTGCTAAACCTTTAGAAGGAGACTCAGCATAGATAGCATCAGCCATTCTGATGATCTAGACTCTAGACTTCCAATTCTAGTTCTTTTTTTCTTTTAAAAAAATTGTGGTTAAATACACAACATAAAATTTGCCATCTTGATTGTTTTTACTGTCCAGTGTAACTGAAGGGCATCTTCACTGTTAAGCAGCCACCACCACCACCCAACTTCGGAACTCTTCATTTTGTAGAACTTCAGCTCTGTACCCATCAAACAACAATCCTCTATTTCTCCCTCCTCCCAACCCGTGGCAACCACTCTTCCTCTTCCTATTCTAGATTTGACAACTCTAGGTACTTCACATAAATAGAATTGTACACTTCCTCCTGTAACTTGTTTATTTTACTCAGCATGACGTCCTGAATATTCATACATGTGGTGGCATGGGTCAGAATTTCCTTCTCTTTTTAAAAGCTGAAGACTATTCTATTGTATGGTGTCACGGAACATGGCTAAACCGGTCAGCATCATTCCAAGTGAATTTTGTCTGACTAAATAAAGACACAGACACAGAAAGTACTTTTTTGGGTTCAATGACCGCTCCTCAGCCACAGCTCCTACAGGAGGGGCAAGGTAGGCAAGAAAGAGGAGGAGCACTCCTGGAACTCGGGTTTTATTGGGGAGAAGCCACTCAAATGAGGCAAGGGTAGGGTTACAAGAAACAAGTGGGGTGTGATCCAACCCCATCGGGTGACACCCACTCCTGGGGAGCTGCGCCTCTCTTATCAGTGGAGGTAGGGTCCAAACGCATTGCAGTGCAATACCTGTTCAGTACCTCCTCGCTCAGGACTTAAAGGTGTGTACCTAGCTCCTGTCCAGAGCGGCTCCCTGACAGTATGCTTATACTACATTTTGTTTATCCATCCATACATCTATGGATACTTGCCTACACATTTTGGCTATTGTAAATAATGCTACTATGAACCTGTAAGTACAAATATCTCTTCTGGGTCCTGATTTGCATTCTTTTGTAAAGATACTTAGAAGTGGAATCACTGGGTCACATGGTAGCCCTTTTTTAAAACATTTTTTTAGCAACCGCCATACTATTTTGCACAATGGATGTGCCATCTTACATTCCCATCAGTAGTCTACAAGGATTCCATTGGCTACTTTTTGTTTTAAGTTGCAATCCTGATGGATGTGACTCGATTTCTCATTGTAGTTTTGTGTTTACTTTTAAAGAATGAATTTACCCAAAGAATGGTACCTAATGCAGGAAATTTCTGAGTTGATTGGTTTTTTCTGAAGATTTCCAGCAGAAAACACATCCCCTTCCACACATTTCCTGTGTGGTGACTGACGCCAGCATTTTTTCATGAAACACAAGACAGAAGAGGCCACTGGACATTAACTTCAGTATTTTTTATTGTATGCTTGATGCATTTAGAGACAATCCCAAGGGCAAGCACTGGATAAAGGGACATCACCTGGTTTGTAGATAGTTGTACAAAAGACTGTTAAGACTACATGGTCAGTTCCCACTGCAGGAAACGAAGACTTTCTTTATTATAATTCGCTGCCAGTAGCATTTTCCAGCTAATACATTGAAACTCTCACAATATGATTGCAAACATGTATATATTGGCTCCCACAAGAATTCTGCATGTGACATTTCAAGATGTATGGTGTCAATCAGATAAAGCACATTTTGACAAAAACCTAAGGAGAGCAGCGGGGACTTAAGACTGCGTGGAATGAAATGCCACAGCTACAGGAAGCATACAGTAGAACTGGGACAGCCAGGCATGTGACCTGCCACTCCTCCCCCTCCCAGAGAGCATGCCCAGTGAGGTGGGTCCCTTTGCTTTCTTCTCCCTGTGCTTCCTAAAGCTAAGAGCTCAGTTGAAGACCTCTCCAATAAAGGATGGGTAGGTCTCCAATCAGGAATGCAATTAGAGACCTCATGACAGACACAGGGTCCCACCTGTCTTCCCTGCTATCAGCCAGAGCTATGTGTCACCTGTAAGGAGGTGAGATGACATCTGTTAGGATGCACAGTTATTTGCTTAGTCAGCAATTACTTTTTAGACCTAATGATTCATCCAATAGTAAAGGAACTTCGTTGCTAAAATCTAAGAGGCATACACCTGCTCTGTTAGCTTGTAGAGTAGCTCCTAATAATAACATCAGGTCTTACATTACAGGGCACTAATGAATCTCCATAATTTTGATTATGTCCTTATTCTACCTAAGGTTCAAGCCACCTCCAAAAATGAAAGCACTATTATTTCTGCTTTGCTAATTTACTTTCACTGGAGTGTCTGCCCTTGATCTGAGGGCCGTCTTCACTTATGGTAAATCCCACCTAATAGACAAGACTAACTAGCTTATGATAGGTTACAGGGGAGGTGGGGGAGAGATTCTGTCCTTTATGGCCATGACTTCTTTCTGCACAAAGCATGCAGTGGCACCCCACCTTCTTAATAGATATACAAATGGTATTTAGGAAGCTATTTACACATGGTGACCTTTAAACATTAGTTTCAC